TAACACTCCAAGATTGTTCGTTGGAGTTTGTTATTGCAACCTTTTGATGTAAAAATTGTACACATTTCAGGGAAAATGTAATTCGTGATGCTTTATCCCAGATGTAAACTTCTGTAAATTTAAGAATGTAACCAAGAAAGCTGGATAGTGATTAAGAATCTATTGGGAGGAAGGATTGAATGGCTGTGAGATTTGTTTGTCATTTAAGTTTTACTAACCTTGTCCTGAAATACATTTTTGAAATAGTGTTTCATTTTTAAGGGTGGAAGTATGTAGAGACCATCACTATTTTTCCTTTTAGTTCTGATTTTTTTGGTTTGTAACTTGGAGTTGTAGTTAAGAATTGAACAACAGCTTGTTTTAAAAAGGGGAGAGAGCAAAGACAGATCTTTTCAGCTGGGAACTGGCCTGGAATCATAATGCAGTTTACTGATCCAAGGACACTATCGACAAATCAGCACTGAGCTTTGCTCAAGGGCAACAGCTGATGCGATGTTCAATTGGTTATCAATGTGGATTTGGATCTGAGATAGTAGGAACTGCAGATGCTGGAGAATCCGAGACAACAAGGTGCAGAGCTGGATGAACACAGCAGGCCAAGCAGCATCATAGGAGCAAAAAGGCTGACGTTTCGGGCCTAGACCCTTCATCAGAATTCATGTTTGTGGATTTGGATCTGATTGGGTCTGGCAGGAGACATTGTAATTTTTAGAAACTTCTGAAGATGGCGCTCGTTTGTTTTACTCTCTTTAGGTTCTCCTAAGTTATCAAGTTGTTGAATGTGCTGAGAAAAGAGTATCAGTCTGTTAAAAAAGGTAAATATTTCTAGAAATCTGCTGAAACTGATTGAATTATTCAAGCAAGATATATAGTTCTATGTCCCTGTGAGCAACCCATTGTCTAAGGATTTCACAAAAGCCTCGTATCCATCTTTAGGAACCGCTTAATGAACTATCAAATTACAATTATCTTATTTTCTGTTATTTTTAAATTTTCCTCTTAACTGTGTCTGTTTGTCAATCTCTGTGTGTGAGTGACTGTAGGTTATGATCACGGAAGATAGGGTTTTACATTGTGGATATTAATTAAATTACGCTTTGTTTATCCTTGTTCGGTTAAAGTTACATTATTAAAATTAAATTGTTAAACGTTGTTTAAATTCTAAACTTGGTGCCCAAGATCTGTTATTAGTAAAGTCTGGTTAGGAACAATGGGGCAGTTTGGAGAGTCACTGAATGTTTTAATTTTACTATATTGTGAATCCAGTGATAGGCTTATTTGGTTTGGCTTTCTATCCCTGTATACATGAATAACAGACAAACTTTAAGCATTCTAATAAACATTATACTCTGTATTTAATATTCTATTCATAATGGTAAACAGCTAGTTCCATAGAACACTGAAATTCAAGAATACCGCAGGTTCAACTTTTGAATTGCAGATATTCTGCAAACAACAATTCTGTCATTGCCTCCAGCACCTACAACCCTCCTTATGTCTGTAATCTGGTCTAGCATGTAAATGCTTCCCTAATTCTGTAACATCCTCTAGCTCTACCCTCCTCACTAGTGTGCAGGTGCATAATTCCTTGAAAGTGGAGTTGCAGGTAGACAGGGCAGTGAAGAAAGCATTTGGCATGCTTGCCTTCATTGGGCAGTGCATTGCATATAGGAGTTGGGACATCATTTTCCTGCTGTACAGGACATTAGGTGAAGCCACTTTCAGAATACTGCACACATTTCTGGTTATCCTGCTACAGGAAGGATATTGTTAAACCTGAGAAGGTACAGAAAAGATTTACAAGAACGTTGCCAGGACTGGAGGATTTGAGCTACAGGGAGAAGCTGAATAGACTGGGGCTTTGTTTCCCTGGAGCATCAGAGGCTGAGGGATGACGTTATAGAGGTTTATAAAATCATGAGGGGCATGGATACAGTGAATAGTGAAGGTCTTTTTCCAGGATAGGGGTGTCCAAAACTGGACGGCATAGGTTTAAGATGAGACGGGAAAGATTTAAAAGGGGCCTGAGGGGCAACTTTTTCATACAGAAGGTGGTGCATGTATGGAATGAGCTGCCAGAGGAAGCAGTGGAAGCTGGTACAATTACAACATTTAAAAGGCATTTGGATGGGTACGAAAAAAGGAATGATTGAGAGGGATATGGGCCAAATGCTGGCAAATGGGACTAGATCAGTTTAGGATATCTGATCAACACAGACGAGTTGGACCGAAGAGTCTGTTTCTGTGCTGTGCGATTCAATGACTCGAGGCCTTTTTTAAAAATTCATTAATAGGATGTGGGTGTTGCTGGCTGGCCAGCATTTATTGCCTATCCCTAGTTGCCCTTGAGAAAGTGGTGGTGAGCTGTCTTCTTGAACCGCTGTAGTTCATGTGTTATAGGCAGACCCACAATGCTTTTTGGGTAGGGTTCCAGGTTTTTGACCCATTGAACTGAAGGAACAGCAATATATTTCCAAGTCAGGATGGTGAGTGACCTGGAGGGGATCTTGAAGGTGGTGGTGGTCCCATATGTCTGCTGCCCTTCTGCTTGAAGGTGGTAGTGGTCATGGGTTTGGAAGGTGTTGTTGAGGGAACTTGGTGAATTTCCTTGCAGTTAATACTATGAAGTTAATTAGCAAGACAGTACTGCCCATCACACAGCACTGAATTAGTCATGTGGTTTGTGTTGTCTAAGGTCATAATTCTGAAAGAGTTAATGTTATATATTGGATCAAGCTTTACCCAACTGATGCAACTATTTCCTTCCCCACGATTCATAATTTCCCTAGTGGTGGACCCCTACTGGAGCCCTTGCCAATGCCTGATTACCATCTGATGCACCAACCTTGTATTTCCTATCTTCTCTGTACACCCCCTCTCCAATTAGTCCATTTTACCAGAAAATCATTCGAATCCTTCACGCTGAAACTCCCTCCTTCAACCACTCTCCCCAACCTGTTCCAAAGGCCTCATTTCTTTATTAGGTAACTCTCTCACAAATCTTGCTACTTGTTCACTTTTATTGCTTTAAAGGATACTCTATCAGTGGAAAACTTTGTGGATATTTTATGAAGCTTGGGCACATCTAGGGCAAGGATGTAAGCTAGCTTAAATATTGAACACATTGTACATGAAGGAAACATAGAAGATAGGAGCAGGAGGAGGCCATTTGGCACTTTCAGCCTGCTCTGCCATTCTTCATGATGATAGCTGATCATCCAACTCAATGGTCTAATCCCACTTTCTCCCTATAACCTTCGATCCCATTCGCCCCAAATGCTATATCTAGCCACCTCCTGAAACATTCAATGTTTTGGCATCAACTACTTCCTGTGGTAATGAATTCCACAGGCTCACCACTCTTTGGGTGGAGAAATGTCTCCTCATCTCTGTCTTAAATCATCTAACCCAAATCCTCAGACTGTGACCTCTGGTTCTGGACACACCCTCCCTGCATCTACCCGGTCTAGTCCTGTTAGAATTTTATAAGTCTCTTTGAGATCCCCCCTCATTCATCTGAACTCCAGCAAAAACAATCCCAACCTAGTCAATCTCTCCTCATACATCAGTCCCGCAGTCCCCGGAATCAGCCTGGTAAACCTTTGTTGCACTCCCGAGAACAACAGCATCCTTCCTCAGGAAAGGAGACCTAAATTGCACACAATAGTCGAAGTGCGGTCTCACCAAGGCCCTGTATAACTGCAACAACGCATCCCTGCTCCTGTACTCAAAACTTCTCACAATGAAGGCCAACATACCACTTGCCTTCTTTACCACCTGCTGCACCTGCATGCTTACCTTCAGCAACTGGTGCACCAGGACACCCAGGTCCCACTGCACAATCTCCTCTCCCAATTTACAGTCATTCAGGTAATAATCTGCATTCATGTTTTTGCTTCCAAAGTGAATAACCTCACCTTTATCTAAATTACATTGATTTGCCCACTCACCCAACCTGTTGAGATCATGCTGAAGGATCTCTGCATCTTCCTCACTGTTCACCCTCCCACCCAACTTGGTATCATCTGCAAACTTGGAAATGTTACATTTTGTTCCGTCATCCAAATCATTAATAAATATAGTGAATAGCCGGGGTCCCAGCTTGATCCCTGTGGCACCCGACTAGTTACTGCCTGACAACTTTAAAAGGACCAATTAATTCCTACTCTTTGTTATTTACATTTTAGCTGATAGATTTCTTAAGTAGGCTAGCTAGACCAAATAATCCAACTGTATTAATGAAAAACCTTCTGTTCCTGGGATCGATTCAAATTTTGTTGATTTTGGCAGTTTAAAGAAATCACCTCCTCACTTTATTTTTGAACAGTAAACCTGGGGCTGGATGAGAACATGCTGATATGAAAAGTAGTTGCTGAGGAAGACTTGAGACAGTCTCTGATCCTGTTAACCTCAGCAACTCTTTTACGCAAAGACACAATTCAGATTTTTGTTTAAAATAGTGTGTTTTCTTAATTACGTTCATGAAACAGAACAGAGGCGCAATTGAAATGAGACACTTGGCGAAAAAGATAGAAATGATTTCCTACAGTGCACTATCACCCGAGGTGGTTGAAGGCACTGAATTGTATATTTAACATGGCTCTGTCAATTGGAACCTTTAATTATAACTCTTCAGTATCAGTTACAGCAGGCTAGCACAGATGGTAAAATCTTCCAAAGCTTGGTTAGTCTACCTTACTTAATCTCAGAAGACTAATGCACGAGTCATGTATCAAGATACATCAATGAAATTGGTTGCTCGGAGAACAGAGACTAGTCATTGGCTGTTTAAACATCATGTGGCCAAACCATTTCTTTTATATCCCCCCTCCCTACACACATATTTATTTTTTATTTACTGGGTTTATTTTTCAGGATCTAGTTGGGCATATACATGAGGCTGAGAGTGCTATAAAATTGCTGAAGTATAAAATCGAGAGTACTCAAACTGTCCATATAGAAATATCTCACTAGCGGGGTTGCAGTGTAGCAATCAAACTTCAATCCACCTAGTAAATCAGTTTGTGTTTAACCTGTTTGTTTGCAGCTTCAGGCCTCGACACAGTGTCTGTGTGTGAGTGAAAGAGAGAGAGAGACTTTGGATGCAAGCTACTGTAAGGGATCATAAAACTGAAGGAAATAATGACAGCCTCCTCCTGTCGCCTTGCGATAGTCAGGTAATGATTGCTAGCTCATACCTAGATGACACAGTTGTAGGAACCCTGTATATCATAAACCACGGAGATACAGCAGTGATCAAAATGGTTTCCAGCAATTCAATTAACTTATTAGATTCTTTCAGAACCATTTGCACAAAATGAAAAAAAAATGATGATGCATTTTTGCGTTCAACCACCCCCCCTTTAGTTTCAAAGTCCAATTTGAGCATCCGGCTTATTTTCCTGGATTTATGAACTGCTTAAATGCAGAATTTATGCGCCAGCTGTGAAAATAGATCATTTTAAAGCTATTTCATCTCTTTGCAGAAGCTGTGATACTGCGAGTCAGGTCAATAAATGAATAATCAATCAGCTAGTTACTTATATTTAAGGAGGCTTGTAAATGGCCTGATCAGTAAATGGAATCTGTATCGTTTAATCAACTATCTACCACGTGGGCTGTTCTGTTGTTAAAAGAAGAATCTGGAGTTTGCACACAGTTGTTCCCCAACCTCCCCTGATTAACCACTTCTGGAGATCGCGGAATTTGCAGTTTCTGTAACTGTTTACCTGCTGTTGTTCCAATGTTTTAGAGGGCTGGGGGCGTCCGTTGACAAATACAGCGATCTTACATCGTGACCCCAACACCACCCCCTCCAAAAACAAAAGGCCACCAGCCCCTGGGTGAAATAATCACCATCTGACATTTAAAAAAGTGAAACCGAGTCAAGGAGGAGGCCATTCGGCCCCTCGGGAGCCTACTCCACCATTCAGTACAATCATCGCTCATTTTTAGGGTAAACTCCACTTCCCTGCCTACTCCGAAAATATCATCTTTCGGTGTAGGGAAACCACTAGATATGCTTTAAATGCTGTCGAAATATTTACTTGAAAATAAACGAATGAGAAAGTGGCCCTTAAATCCCAAACAACCTAAAATTTAGTTTTTAAAAAAGTTATTTAAAATTAGCTTATTCACAGCTACTGGACTGACGCTGTGAATTCAAATGCTTCTTTTATTGCAATAAGCCTATTTTCAGCTACAATACTGAAACCCTGTGAAAAATTGGAATGGGTGGAATCTTGTTCAACCTTTGAGGGTCTTGCCTGTTGCTGAAACACCCACCAGGCTGACTGATCAACTCAGTCAGTGATAAGGCTACAATGGGATCTTACCTTGGATCTAAGAGCAAAGCTCGTGTTAAGTGAGAGTTGCTAACTACTTCAGGTGACTCTACTCCCAGACAGCACTGTCAATGATGTGACTGCTGTTGGAAAGAATCCCTGTGACTTACTGAGGATCAAGGAGTGAGGTAAGAGATGTGTATGTTTATGAGAGAAGGTCAAGGGGTGTGTGTTCTGGGGTTAAGGTCTGTGGGAGAAGAGGACTGGGTGGTTCTGACTCAGTAGAGTCATACGGCATGGAAATAGGCCCTTCTGTCCAACCAGTCCATGCTGACTATGTTCCCAAACTAAACTAATTTCACCTGCCTTCTCCTGACCCATATCCCCTCAAACTTTTCCTATCCACAAACTTATCCAAGTATCTTTTAAACGTTGCAACTGCACCTGCATCCACCACTTCCTCTGGCAGTTCATTCCACACACAAACTTTTCTCTGAGTAACAAAGTTACCCTCATGTCGTTTGTAAATCTTTCTCCTCTCACCTTAAAAAATATGCCCTTAGTTTGGCACTCCCCCACCATAGGGAAAAGACACCTGCCAATCACCTCATCTGTGCCCTGCACAATTTTATAAACCACAATAAGTCATACCTCAACATCCTAGGCTCCACTGAGAAAAGTCCCAGCTCTTCCAGTCTATTTTTATAACTCAAACTGTCCAGTCCCAGAAACATCCTGGTAAATCTTTTCTGAACCCTTCGTGCCACAGGACCTCAACTCTCAATTTAGAAATGGCGTCTCATGACACCTTTACTTGTGTCACTTCAAACAAGAGCAAATAACATTTACTTATTTAAAAATAAATTATAGGCTCATGTCTGCTGTCAATACAATGGGGATGAAAATGCACTAGCAATTGTTTATGTCCAAAAAAATGCAGCAACTTCAGAGGAAGACTGTGAGGAAAAGCCAGGGAACTGTAGATTGGTGAGCCTTACATCAATGGTGGATAGGTTGTTTGAGGGGATTCTGATGGACAGGATTTACATGCATTTGGAAAGGCAAGGACTGATTAGGGATAGTCAGAATGGCTTTGTGTATTTGGGAAATCGTATCTCACTAACTTGATTGAGTTGTTTTGAAGAAGTGTCAAAGAAGATTGAAAGCAGAGCAGTGCTCGTTATCTATGTGGACTTCAGTAAAGTGTTCAACAAGGTTCCTCGTGGAGATGAGTTAGTAAGGTTAGATCACATGGGATCCAAGGGGAATTAGCTAATTGGATACAAAAATTGGCCTGAAGGTACAAGAGAGAGGGTGGTGGTGGAGGGTTGCTTTTCAGACTGGAGGCCTGTGACCAGCAGTGTGCCGCAAGGATCAGTGCTGGATCCACTGCTTTTTGTCATTTACATAAATGATCTGGATGTGAATAAATGAGATTATGGTTTAGTAAGTTTGCAGATGGCACCAAAATAGGTGTTGTACTGTACAGTGAAGAAGATTGTGTCAAAGTACAATGCTCTTGATCAAATGGGCCAATGGACTGAGGAGTGGCAGATGGAGTTTAATTTAGATAAATGTGAGGTGTTGCATTTTGATAAGGCAAACCACTTATACATTTAATGGTAGGGCCCTAGAGAGTGTTGCTGAACAAAGAGACCAAGAGGTGCAGGTGCATAATTCCTGAAAGTAGAGTTGCAGGTAGGCAGGGTTGTGGAGGAGGAGTTTGGTACACTTGCCTTTATTAACAAGGGCATTGAGTATAGGAGTTGCGATGTCATATGTTGTGGCTGTACAGGATATTGGTGAGGCCACTTTTAGAATACTGCATACAATTCTGGGCACCCTGCTATAGAAAAGATGTTAAAATTGAGAGGGTGCAGAAAAGATTTACAAGGACGTTGCCAGAGTTGGAGGGTTTAAGCTATAAGGAGAGGCCGAATAGACTGGGGCTATTTTCCCCTGGAACATTGGAAGCTAAGGGGTGACCTTATAGAGGTTTATAAAATCATGAGGGGAATGTTTGGGTGAATAGCCAAGGTTTTTTTTATCCTAGAATGGGGGAATCTAAAACTAGGGGGCATGGGTTTAAGGTGAGAAGGGAAAGATTTACAAAGGGACCTGAAGGTGTAACTTTCACACAGAGGGTAGTGCGTGTATGGAATGAGCTGCCAGAGGAAGTTGTGGAGGTGGGTACAATTACAACATTTAAAAGGCATATCATTGGGGACATGGATAGAAAAGATTTAGAGGGATAAGGGCTGAAAGTTAGCAAATGGGACTAGGTTAGGTTGGGATGAAGGGTCTGCATCCATGCTGTATGATTCCATGTCTGTATCCTTTATTCATTCATGGGATGAGGGTCATTGGCTAGGCAGCATTTATTGCTCATCCCTAATTTCCCAGAGGGCAGTTAAGAGTCACCCACATTGTTGTGGGCCTGGAGTCACTTGTAGACCAGACCAGGTAAGGATGGCAGTTTCTTTCCCTAAACAACATTAGTGAACCAGATGGTTTTTTCCCCCCAACAATTGACAATGGATTCACAGTCATCATTGGAGTTTTAATTCCAGATATTTATTGAATTCAAATTCCACCATCTGCCAAGACAGGTTTCAAACCCAGGTCCCCAGAATGTTACCTGGGTATCCGGATTAACAGTCCAGCGATAATACCACTAGGCCATCACCTGCCCATGACATCTGTATAACAGACAGGTACAGGGTTGGATACCAATATTCAAATATTTCTGTCTAAGTTGTGTGACATTGACATTGGCTTAGCAGAAAGCGCAGCTTCCCATTTGTCTCACACAAGAAATAGAAGCAGGAGTGGGCCATTCAACCCATCAAGTCTGCTTTGCCAAATGAAAGGACATGATTTTAAGCTGTTCTCTCCTTTCCGTTTGAAATATTCCTTGACTCCCTGAGAGACCAAATATCTCTCCTTTCTAGAAGTTAATACTTTGAATAATTAATTAGAATGAGGTGTTATTGTCACTTTTACTCAAGTACAGGGATACAGGAGTACAGTGAAAAGTTTAGAATGTCATCACTCATGGTACCATATTATGTAAAAGGTACCTAGATACAAACTCTTCAGTAAAAACTAGAAAAATAAATAAGTTAAAAGTTCAACATTACAGTTCTTGTCATTATAAAATAGTAAATAAGAAATAAAGTTAAAAGTACCAAATTATAGACCTTCTTTAGCCAGGGGCCTGCAGCCATTCCATGCTTGGCTTTCCCCACGAGAGCTCAATCTCTCTCCTGCGCAGATTCTTAAGTGTTAAACTCCCGCACAGTTGGTCAAGCTTCACACTCCCATTCACAGAAACTCATTAGCAAATGCTCAAACCTGACACTCGGATCAGTTTTAACTTCCCTGGCTGGTTTCACCCTCACGCCAGAGAGTAATCAGGCTTCCAAGTTGATCTAAGAGACCAACTGATATCTGTCGGAGAATTAGTGACAGGGTTCATGAGCAAACACTGACTGACAGGGGCATTAACTTTCGAACCTGCAATCCTCCAAATTATAGTGGAGTTGAATTGTCAGCACCGTGACATTAATAAAAGGAGACCTTTCTCCTGTAGACCGGTTTCCCGTAGGATACAAGGAAGTAACTAAGTCCACAAGAAGAACACACAAAGCAGACTTAACAAAGGTAGCAAGAACTGCCGATGCTGGAGCCTGAGGATAACGCAGTGTGGAGCTGGATGAACACAGCAGGCCAGGCAGCATCAGAGGAGCAGGAAGGCTGACGTTTCGGTTCGGGAACATTCCAAAGCCAAGGTCACAAGTTCAATCTCACAGTGGTATTGAGCTTGTGGATGTGAAGCAGGAGTTTTTTTTTAAAGAAAGACATGCAGGTGCTACTGTGAAAGCCAGGATTTGTTGGCCATCCCTAATTAAATGGAGTGACATACTCGACCCTTTCAGAGGGCTGTTAACAGTCAACCATATTGTTACTTGTAGGACAGGCCAGATAAGAAGGGCAGATTTACTTCCCAAAGGGGACATTAATGAATCAGATGAGATTTCACAGCAGTGGTCTCATGGTTAGTGGTAAACTAATCTTTAAAGCAAATTTTGCTTCTATTATGTGACATGATGAGATTTGAGCCTGTGTCCCCAGAGCATGAAGTCAAGGTGTCAGGATTTCTACTTATGATATTACACACCATCACGCACTCCCTCCCTTAGCAAACTAGTCAGCCTCAATGAACTGAGCTGACCAATGGCCCACTTATCCCATTAGAATGTTCTTTTAGCCTTGCACCATCATCCTTTTTACCATTTAATCTCTCCTGCCTTTGATTTAATCACAGAATTTTCCTCGAGGGCTCTTCCTTCTCCCTTTTTGCTGCCTGCATATTTGATTAAAACCGGTTACATCTCATGTTTTTCCTCAATCTGATGGAAGGTCTTTGAAATGTTAAACTCTTTCTTTCCACAGATGCTTCTGATCTGCTGAGAATGTCTAGAGATTTCATATTTCTTTTAAAGACAACTTCAGTTCAATTTCATTTGAAGGCATGCTTGACTTGTGGAAGAAAGAAGAAATGTGATTATTCGGTAACTTTAGACGTGCTAATGTATTTTCAATAATTGACACGTTTGTGCTGTCTTGCAATAATTATTAAGATAGAGATAGGCATTAGCTCAGATAACTACCATGCAGTAGGAAAACATGATTGCCAATTGCTGTTGCTTTAATACAATATTATTGTCAAACAAAGTCAATACTTGTGCATTATCTGGAGTACTGTGCACAATACTGGTCACTTTATGTAAGAAAGGATGCCAATGTCCTGGTGACAGTTCAGAGAAGCTTAACCAGACTAATACCTGGGATAAAGGGAGAGTTGTCTTAGGAGGAAATGTTGGACAGACTAGGCTTGATCCTGCTGGAATTTCGAAGAGTAAGAGGCTACTTAAGAGATAGAACAAGTGGTCGCTGTTTAAAAATCAGGAGTTGCCCATTTAGTACAGAGATTAGGTGATTTCTTCTCTCCTCAATGTAGAGTGTGCATGGAACTCTTCTTGACAAAGGCAGTGGTGGAAAGAAAGTCCTGAGGCAGGTGTGGATGGATTTCTTGATAAGCAAGGGATGAAAGGCTCTCGTGATTTATTGGGAGTGTAGATTTGAGGTTGCAGTTAGATCAGCCATTGAATGGTGGAACAGGTTCTCGAGGCTGAGTGGCCTCACCTGCTCCTAATTCCTGTGGTTTTTATGGTTTTTTTTTCACACACCTGACCGTCAACTAGGAGAGTGCACAACGTGATCTTCCTGGAGTTACACATGTATCTCAACACTTCCTTTCACACTTATTATCCTGATTGGGGTATTTCAGTTTCTTTGTGGTCCCCTTGACAAAAACTGAAGCATCTGTTCATGCACACTTCCACTTCTAGGCTTGGGATTCCTTAGGAATCACTGGTAATAAATCTGCCTGAATGTTGTGACAGAACACAGTGATCCACTTGCCAATTCAAAGGTGAAAACATCCGTGCTGATGGTGAGTCAAACTATTACTGAATCCACATGCAGTAAAACAGCACTGACTGGAGTCCTGAAAGTTTGCTTTTAGTCTAATAAATCACAAAATTTATTTTTGGAGCCTCTTCTTTGTACTTTTTTTTCCCCCTTTATTCATTCACGGGATAAGGGTGTCACTGGCCAGGCCAGCATTTATTGCCCATCTCTAATTGCCCAGAGGGCAGTTAAGAGTCAACCACATTGCAGTGAGTCTGGAGTCACATGTAGGACCAGGTAAGGATGGCCGTTTCCTTCCCTAAAGGGCATTAGTGAACCAGATAGATTTTCCTGCCAATCAGCAATAGATTTATGGTCATCATTAGACTCTGAATTCTGAATTCCAAATTCCACCATTTGCTGTGGCAGGATTTGAACCCAGGTTCCCATAACATTATCTAGGTCTTTGGATTAACAATCCAGCAATAATACCACTAGGCCATTGCTTCCCCATCCACTAATCACACTAAACTGATGCATAGATAGGTTCTACCTATCAACCCTTTCTCCCAGAGTTGAAATGTCTACTACTAGGGGGCATGCATTTTAGGTGAAGGGGAAGTTCAAAGGAGATGAGAGAGGCAAGTTGTTTTTTTTAGAAAACAGAATGTGTTAGGAGTCTGGAACACACTGCCAGGGGAGGTGGTGGAGGCAGACACATAGGGGCATTTAAGGGACTTTTAGACAAGCACATGAATATGCAAGGTATGGAGGGATACGGACCAAGGGCAGGCAAAATGGACTAGTTTAATTTGGTGTCATGTTCAGCACAACATCATTACTGTGCTGTACTGTTCTAACAAAGAACAAAGAAAATTACAGCACAGGCACAGGCCCTTTGGCTGTCCATACCTGCACTGATATGCTGCCCGTCACAACTAAAACCCCCTAACCTCTGGGGACCATGTCCCTCTATTCCTGTCCTATTCATGTATTTGTCAAAATGCCGTTTAAAAGTCACTATCGTATCGGCTTCCACTACCACCGCAAGCGGCAAGTTCCAGGCACCCACCACCCTCTGTGTAAAAAACTTGCCTCATACATCACCGTTAAACCTATGCCCCTTAGTAACTGACTCTTTCAAAATAAAAGCCAAAAGAACTGCGGATGCTGTAAATCAGGAACAAAAACAAAGTTGCTGGAAAAGCTCAGTAGGTCTGGCAGCATCTGTGAAGGAGAAAACAGAGTTAACGTTTCGGGTCCGGTGACCCTTCCTCAGAACTGATGGTGACTGGGAAAATGTCAGTTTATATGCAGAAAATAGGGAGGTGGGTGGGGTAGGGAGTAAACGATAGGATAGAGCCCAAAGAGAGAGAAAGACAGTTGGACAGACAAAGGAGTTGCTAACGATCAGGCTGAGAGGGTGAATAGTTGTTAATGGGGACTGTTAGTGACTAACAACAGGGAGTGTGTAATGGCAGGCAAGTCGACTTGGCGACCGCTTTGCAGAACATCTACGTTCTGCTCGCAAAAAAGACCCTGAACTACCTGTTGCCTGCCACTTCAATGCACCACCCTGCTCCCTGGCCAACATCTGTCTCTGGCTTGCTACAGTGTTCCAGTGAAGCCCAACGCAAGCTGGAGGAACAACACCTCATTTTCCGCTTAGGGACCCTACAGCCCTCCGGACTCAATATTGAGTTCAATAATTTTAGGGCCTAAGCTATCCCATGTCCCAGCCCCCTACCCCACACGCCAGGCCTTGTTACCACATAGCCTGCCATTACACACCCCCTGTTGTTAGTCACTAACAGTCCCCATTAACAACTACTCACCCTCCCAGTCTGATCATTAGCATCTCCTTTGTCTGTCCAACTGTCTTTCTCTCTCTTTGGGCTCTATCCTATCGTTTACTCCCTACCCCACCCACCTCCCTATTTTCTGCATATAATCTGACGTTTTCTCAGCCACCATCAGTTCTGAGGAAGGGTCACCGGACCCGAAACGTCAACTCTGTTTTCTCTTCCACAGATGCTGCCAGACCTGCTGAGCTTTTCCAGCAACTTTGTTTTTGAACTGACTCTTTCACCCTGGGAAAAAGCTTCTGACTGTCTACTTTGTCCACGCCCTTCATAATCTTGTAGACCTCTATCAGGACGCCTATCAACCTCTGTCGTTCCAGTGAGAACAACCCAAGTTTCTCCAACCTTTCATAGTTAATGCCCTCCATACCAGGCAACATCCTGGTAAATCTTTTCTGTACCCTCTCCAAAGCCACCACATCCTTCTGGTAGTGTGGTGACCAGATTGAACACAATATTCCAAATGCGGCCTAACTAAGGTTCTATACAGCTGGAACATTACCTGCCAATTTTTAAACTCGATGCCCCGGCTGATGAAGGCAAGCGTGCCGTATGCCTTGTTGACTACCTTGCTCTATCTGTGTTGCCATTTTCAGTGATCTGTGTACCTGTCCACCCAGATCCCATGCCAAACAGTACTCTTAAGGGTTCTGCCATTTATTGTATATTTTCCATCTGGCTTAGACCTTCTAAAATGCATTACCTCACATTTTTCCAGATTAAACTCCATCTGCTATCTCTTTGCCCAAGTCACCAACCGATCTATATCCTGCTGTATCCTTTGACGGTCCTCATCGCTATCCGCAATTTCGCCGACCTTTGTGTCATCCGCAATCTTACTAATCAGACCAGTTACATTTGCTTCCAAATCATTTATATATATTACAAATAGCAAATGTCCCAACACTGATCCCCTGAGGAATGCCATTAGTCACAGCCCTCCATTCAGAAACGCATCCTTCCACTGCTACCCTCTGTCTATGACCGAGCCAGTTTTTTATCCATCTTGCAAGCTCACCTCTGACCCGGTGCGACTTTACCTTCTGTATCAGCCTGCCACGAGGGACCTTGTCAAAGACCTTACTGAAGTCCACGTAGACAACATCCACTGCCCTACCCTCATCAACCATCTTCATCACTTACTCAAAAAACTCAACCAAGTTAGTGAGACACGACTTTCCCTTCATAAAACCATGTTGTCTCTCGTTAATATGCCCACTTATTTTCCAAGTGGAAGTAAATTCTGTCTCAGAGAATCCTCTCCAATAACTTCTCTACCACTAACATAAGGCTCACCAGCCTGTAATTAGCTGGATTATCCCTGACACCCTTCTTAAAACAAAAGAACAATGTTGGCTATTCTCCAATCCTTTGGGACCTCCCCTCTAGCCAGTGAGGATACAAAGATTTCTTTCAAGGCCCCAGTAATTTCCTCCCTTTGTGTGTTCTATGTAAACTCTCTGCCACCCTGTGTCAGTAATCACAGCCCTCTTAAAGTACTTTAAGATAATAGCAGATCTACAGTGGTGCTTTCCATAATCGGCTCATGAATCTGCTGATTCATAACTAATAGAGATGTTCATGTCATATTAGAGATACCATCAAAGCCAGTGATTTAAGTTAGCTGAATTAAATCAAATTCTATTTTCATAAGAGTACCATTTTATATAGGAATTCCATTACTGATTTTTTTAAAAAAGTCTATTACACATTTTCAGCTAGAAAGCAAGAGGGTAGAGAAGAACACACTGGAAATTTATCCAACAGAAGAGTTTGCTTTGTGAAAGATCCATGGTGTCCCTTTTGTTCAAGTATATTTCTTGTGCCCTTCAACTTTGTCACATTGCAACAATATTTAAAATACCAATTCACACACAGCAAGATCCCAGAAATAGCAACATCATCATGACTAGATCATGTCTTAGTGTCGCTGTTTGCGATCAAGACACTGGGGAGACTGTGTTCCAAAGGAGGGTCATTGTTAGACTCAAAATGTTAACTCTGTTTCTCTCTTCACAGATGCTGCCAGACCTACTGGGTTTCTGCAGCATTTTAAGTTTCTTTTCCGTTCGCCATCCTCATATTTTGCTGTAATTTCACTGGGGAAAGCTCCCCTGCATTTCCTTGAATAGTGGTATTATCACTGGACTGTCAATCCAGAGTCCCAGATAACATTCTGGGAACCCGCGTTTGAATCCCACCACGGCAGATGTTGGAACTTGATTTCAATAAATATCAGGAATTAAAGGTCTAATGATGACTGTGAATCCATTGTTGATTGTTGGGGGGGGAAACCCATCTCTTTCACTAATGTCCTTTAGAGAAGGAAACTGCCATCCTTACTCGGTCTGGCCTATATGTGACTCCAGACCAACAGCAATGTGGTTGACTCCAAACTGCCTCTGGGCACTTAGGGATGGGTAATAAATGCCACCTAGCCAGCGACACCCTCTCCTCATGAATGAATAAAAAAAGAGTCTGAATTATGAAAGATTCAAGTCTCACCTTAATTATCCCAGTCTGTCTGTTGCCAGATACACAAAACATTTGCTCTCTACTGTCATCCATAATCTATGGAGATCACCCTCATTCAAACCAGAGTGAAAGGCAGCTATCAGCTATTCAATTAGCATAAGGATTAAATAACTGTGCATTTGATCTGATTGTGATCAAGTTCAGAAAGTATCTCCTATTAGCACCAACAAGATGGAGAAGTGCCGCTTGTTTTAATGGGTCACAGCAAACTCTGTTAATTGAGAACTGTTAGACCTAAGTTAATTGGTAGCAGTAAGATAGATGTTAATTTGCAACAGTAAGAGCTATGCTAATTGGTGACAATAAGATCTATGCTAATTTGCGACAGTAAGATCTATACTTATTGGTGGCAATAAGATCTATGTAAATTGGCAGCAATAAGATCTATACAAATTGATGTCAGTAAGATCTATGCTAATTGGAAAAAGTAAGGTCTATGCAAATTGGTGGCAGTAAGATCTATGGTAATTGGTGGTCGTAAGATCTATGCAAATTAATAACAGAGATCTATGGTAATTGGTGGTCGTAAATGGCAAATATGGAGTGTAATACTAAATGCTGTGACAACATGTTTCTCAAAATGTAAGTTTCTTATTGTAACTAAGTACTCTTCATACCAAAAGGTTTTTTTTAAATATTAATTTGCTTTTCTTATTACAGAAAGCTACAAGGAATATTGAAACAGAACTGCTCATAAAGCCACAGAGATACCAAAAGAATGTTTTGGGATTGCTTCAAATGTACTAGTGACTTGTGATAAATGTCACAATAAAGCAAAAATACAAACTTCTGGAAGCACTCAGCAGGTTAGACAGCTTGAGAGAGACGCAGAGTTTAACGCTTCAGGTCGAAGACCTTTTGTTCAAAAATTTCATCTTCAAAATTGAAAGTTGATTTCAACAGTAGGAGTTCATGTTGCAACTTTAAAAAAAGGTCCTGCAATGTCTGAAACTAAATTTGTTTCTCTGGCTTGGGTGTATAATTGCCATGTTTCCAAGTTTACTTAAACTCAAAACAATCCTGCAAGGCCAAGATACAGAATTTGTTTTGTAGGTTCCAGTCGCATTAGGGCAGTGTGAAGTCAGTGATCTTAACATTCCTCCTTTGTATGCTGAATAAAATCCTTTGAAGAAATTTTGCAAGTCTGTATGAATCATCTCGGAGCGGTTTCACTTTTAGGGTCATCCTTCACTTAAGCAACATGCTACACAGCCAGTTTCATGAGACTATCTTCCAGGCCGGTTGTAAAGCATCCTAATACAGGGGACTAAGTTGAAATCTTTCATGGGGACCCACTACAATCAGGCCCTGTAAATGAGATGTCTATGTGGAATGTTAAGCAGCTTGAGTGTTAGAACCAAATGAGGTGATCCAGCCCCTCAAATCTGCTCAACCAGATAATGGCTGATCTGTATTACTCATTTCCATGTAGCAATGCTTCCTTCATCTCGTGTTACTCTTCCCCATTTAAATCATGATCATTCCAGTTATCCCCCTGAATCAATAACCTCTTGTGGGGAGAGGGTCCATGTATTTACTTCCAGGTTTCATTCCTGAATGTGCCAGTTCTAAGTTTAAGTTTTCATCCCATCCCCCGATTGTCCTTGGTGGAAATAGTATTTACCTGCATTTATGCTGTCAAATTGTCTTAACATTTCAAACACTTCAATCAGATTAGGTCTCAATCTTCGCCCTTTGAGAGAATACAAGCAAAGTTTTGGAACTTGTCCTCATGTACGCTTTCTAAGCTCACTATCTTTCTGACTCAGGGGACTCCCACTCTTTAGACCATCCCTTAGGAAAACATTCCACTACCTGGAAGTTCTACAACAACAAACTCCAAGTCCGTGGCCCACTTTGTCACTGAGTCAGACCCTGAGCGCTCAAATCTGCTCCAGAGACTCAGGCCTATGATCAAAATTGGTGGAGTATTGAGGAAGTGCTGCACTGTCAGAGGCCCCCCCACTCCCGTTTTTTATGAAATGTTAAACGATGACTGCCTCTGGCATTTAGTTGGATATAAATTATTTACCCTTCAGCCAATCGGTCACTGATTGTGGGATCCTGCTGTGCGCAAATAGGCTGCTGGGCTTTTTTACACTGCGATGATTGTTACATGACTTGTGAAAGCAGTGATTGGTTATGAAGAGATTTGGGACACCCTCGTTAATGAGATGCAATGGCTTTCTTATACCAAGTGATGCTTGAGGTGGACAAATGACTTGGTTTCTGAAGCATTTCTTTCCTGGAACAGGTTGTTACAGCTTGAAGGAGCCTACTCCTTATCAAAATGGCTAACCAGGAAGTTCTCCCACTCTTACCTTCTAACTTTATACCTAGTGGTATTATCGCTGGACTGTTAATCCAGAGACCCAGATAACATTCTGGGGACCAGGTTCGAATCCCGCCACAGCAGATGGTGGAATTTGAATTCAACAAAAATATCTGGAATTAAGAGTCTGATGATGACCATGAATCCATTGCTGATTGTCGAAAAAACCCATCTGGTTCACCAACGTCCTTTAGGGAGGGAAACTGCCATCCTTACCTGGTCTGAGCCTACATGTGACTCCAGACCCACAGCAATGTGGTTGATTCTTAACTGCCCTCTGGGCAATTAGGGATGGGCAATAAATTCTGCCTGACCAGCGACACACTCATCCCGTTAATGAATAATAAAAAGAAATACTGGAAGAATTTATAGCCTCATACTTAATTTCTTTGACCACATTTTGAACACCATCAAGTTCTGGGGTAGAACTTGAAATCAAGATATTAATCTCAGAGACAGTGCTTCACAACATCATGAAAGCTGCTAATTACATTTCTTTCTTGATCATAACTGGCGCAGATCCTGCCCATGGTAGGCTGATAAATTACACAGTTGCTATGCAGCAAAAGGAGGCCATCATGTCTTACCAGTTCTCTGAACATTTTAACCAGTCTCCTGCCTTCTCCCGTAACCTGCTGTTTTTTTCATAACTGTCCTCTCGAATACCTCAATAAAACTTGGCTGAACCACTCTACCAGGCAGATATTGCAGAGCCTAACTACTCACTCAATGGAAAAGATTTTTTTTCACCTCATATTTGCTGCTTTTGCGAATTACCTTAATACAGTTCCTGCTTACTCGTGGTATCTTTATGAGCAAGAACAGCATTTCTCTATCTGCTCTATCCTAAGAGAAGCAATGGCTCTAGAGGTATTATTGCTTGTCTGCTAATCCTGAAACTTAGCTAACATCCTAGGGACCTGGGTTCAAATCTTCCATCAGATTTAAATTCAATAATGAATCTGCAATTATGGCACTAATGATGACCATGAGATGATTGTTGGGGGGAGAAAAACCCATCTGGCTTACTCATGTCCTTTAGCAAAGAAAATCTGTCATCCTTACATGGTCTGAGCCCACATATGACACAGCAATGTGGTTGATTTTTAACTGCTCTCTGGGCAATTAGGGATGGGCAATAAATGCTGACCCAGCAAGAGATGTCCACATCCCTGTGAGTTAATAAAAAAAATTTTTTCATGATTTTGAAAACCTCTAGCAGATCTCCTCTCAGCCTTCTTCTCTCCAAGGAGAACAGTCCCAACTTCTTCAATCTATCCTCATCACTGAAGTTTCTCATCCTTGAAACCATTCTTGTAAATTGCTTCTGTAGTCTCTCCAATGCATTGACATCCTTCCTATGGAGTCTCAGACTATTAGCAATCTGTGTGTCTTTTTGATTGGTCCCCATCCATGTGTTAACAATCTCCTAGGCATTATTTCCACACACTTCAGATGACCAGCTTCCATATGTGTTTGATTCATTCCTAAACATTTTTCTCTCAATACCTTCCATAATAGAGTCATAGAGTCATACAACATGGAAACAGACCCTTCGGTCCATGCCGACCATGTTCCCGAACCAAACTAACCCCACCTGACTAAGCTTGGCCCGTATCCCTCCAAGCCCTTCCTATTCATGTGCTTATCCAAATGTCTTTTAAATGTTGTAACTGTACCCTCAACCACCACTTCCTCTGGCAGTTCATTCCACACACGGACCACTTTCTGTGTAACAAAGTTGACCCTCATGTCTTTCTTAAATCTTTCTCCTCTCCCTTAATCTTGAAATTCCCACCCTAAGGAAAAAACAGCTGCCATTCAACTTATCGATACCCATTATGATTTTATAAACCTCTATGAGGTCACCTATCAACCTCCTACGCTCCAGTGAGAAAAGTCACAACCTATCCAGCCGCACCTTATAACTCAAGCCCTCCAGTCCTGGAAACATCCTGGTAAATCTCTTATGAACCCTCTCCAGCTTAATAATATCCTTCCTGAAACAGGGCGGCCAGAACTGGACACTGTACTGCAGAAGAGGCCTCACCAACCTCCTGTACAACCTCAACATTATGTCCCGGCTTCTATACTCAAAGGTCTGAGCAATGAAGGCAAGCATGCTAAATGCCATCTTAACCACCCTGTCTATATGTGACACAGATCTCAAAGAAGTTTAAAAGTGGTACCGTGGTTAGCACTGCTGCTTCACAGCACCAGGGAGCTGGTTTCAATTCCACCTTCAGCCAAAGGTCTGTATGGAGTTTGCACATTCTCCCTATGTCTTCGTCGGTTTCATCTGGGTGCTTTGGTTTCCTCCCACAGTCCAATGATGTGCAGGTTGGGTGGATTGGCCATGCTGAATAGTCCACACCGTCCAGGGATTTATAAGGTAGGGGACTGAGTCTGGGTGGAATCCTTTTCAAAGGGTCAGAGTGGACTCGATGGGCCAAATGGCCTGTTTCTACACTGTGGATTCTATGAAAGGGGATCAAAAATACAGCAAATATGGGGAAAGAGCCAACACGGACAAATGGATACCAGTTAGGAATGTGATGGCCATTCAGAACCTGTTCTCGCCTTCAATAAGGTCATGGCTGATCTGATTATTACCTTAACTCTACATTCCCATCCACTCCCAATAACCTTTCACCCCTAGATTACCAGAATATATCCATCCCTACCTTAAAAATATTCAAAACCTGGGCTTTGCACCATCCTTTCCAGGGACAAAGTTCCAAAGGCTCACAACACTCTGTTAGAAAACCTTTCACCTCTCGATCTAAAGTGGTGACCCCTGATTTTTTTCTTTAAACAGTGACTTCTAAGTTCTCAATTCTCCCACAAAAGGGCACATTCTTTTCATAGCCACTCTGTGAAGATGCCTCAGAATCGTGTACGGTTCATTCAAATCACCTCTAGTGCTTCTAGACTCCAGCAAGTACAGGTCTAACCTTTCCAGCCTTTCCTCTTAAGACTGCCCGTCCTTTCTAGATATTAATCTGGTAAACCTTCTGTGGACAGCTTCCATTTACATTCTTCCTTAAAAATGGAAACCATTGTACTCCGGATAAGGTCTCACCAATATTCTGTTTAACAGAAACATAGCTTCTGTACTTTTATATTCAATTTCCTTTGCAATAAATAATAACATTCTGTTAGCTTTCCTGATTACTTGCTGTGCCTGCAGACTAACCTTCTGTGATTCATACATGAATACACCCAGATCCCTCTGCATCTCGGAGCTCTCCAATCTCACACCACTTAGTGTTATGTTTCTTTCCTATTCTTCTTGCCAAAATGGACAATTTCACAATTTTCCACATCATGTTCCATTTTCTGCATCATTAGAAACTTAGAAAATATGAAGAGGAGTAGGCCATTCAGCCCTTTGAGCCTACTCAGCCATTCAATCTGATTGTGGCTGATCATCCAACTCAGTTCCCTGTTCCCTTTCGTCCTAAGAACTATATCTAACTCCTTCTTGAAAACAGTCATTGTTTGGCCTCAACCACTTTCAGTGGCAGAGAATTCCTCAGGCTCAGCTCTCTCTGGGTGAAGAATCATTTTTGCCCACTCATCTAGCTTATCACTATCTCTTTGCGGCCGCCTTATGTTATCTTCACCACTTACTTTTCTACCTATCCTTCTGTCATCAGCAGATTTAGTAACCATGCCTTTGGTCCCTTTGTCAAAGTCATTTGTATAAATTGTAAAATAGTTGAGGCTTCAACACGGATCCTTGTAG